CAATCAAGACCACACAAATAGTCAATAAATTGGATTTATCTCTATGAGATTTATCCTGATTATGATATGGGATATCGAAACATATTTTTATCGGCCCAAAGCCCATAACAATTTATTTTTAACTAAAACAAATTTGATTTATTTTAATAATTATCTATTAATAATTCTAAGTTATGTTTTGGGGCGTTACATTTCTACCCCCCTTAAAAGGAATTTCGTCCTCGAAATTCTTCTTAGGTTCAACGTTCAACGTTTTGTAATGATCTCACTGATCATGACCGTTTCATATTCATATGGTTATGTCGCTATCTTTCGGATACGTATTCTCAAGTCATTGATTTCACCAAACTCGTTCAATCTTCGAGAGATTAGCAATTTTCGATTAAGTAAGGTCTTCATTGATCCTTTGATGACAAAAATTCCTTCATAGTGTGTAGTATTGCATACTTGACATACATAACTTCGTTCAGTTACGAGTCTTATCTGTACGTCCTTGGTTAACAGAATCGATTGAAAATTTCTTCAATACTCTTGAATGGTCTTTGATAAGCACAATTGCAGTTTGTTTCAATTCATACGTCGTAACGTAGTCTTTCAATTACTCAAGGGGTCGTTGTCTTCAGGGCAGTAACCATTTGACTTTTCATCTTGGATTTGAACGTATTTCAGGACAGCGAATCTAACTGTTCATGAGTCTTGATATGTCATATCGTCAGCAGACTGTATTATTAGTGAACACGTCATTGTCAGTAGGTAAATTGAATCCATCTTTGCTGTACAAATTTTGACGGAGGATAACTACCCTTTTTCAAAGGTCAGGTTTTCAGAGCCTATATATATCACGATTGTGGCCAGAGCATTTCACATTCTCACATTATGGAAGGAACATCTCGAAATTTTCCTTACACAATAAAATTCGTTGGTCTACTTGGTAGTCATTCTCTTGGTAGAAATCCAAAGTTCATGGCTACGGTGGTGGATTTAGGAAGGGAATTGGTAAGGCGAAAAATTAGACTTACCTATGGAGGAGGCAACGTTGGCCTTCAAGGAGCTGTTGCTTCAACAGTCTATACCAATGGTGGTATAGTTAGAGGCTTCATACCAGGGTACATAACAGCACGACAGGTCTATGGTCCTACATACGGTGCAGAGTACACCGTTTCCAGCAATTACTACAAGTATTTTGAGATGAATCATGTGGTGGAGGCTTTCATCATACTTCCCGTAGGAATTGATACTATGGAAGGTTTGTTCACTTTGATCTCATGGGCATCTGAAGGGTTGCACAGTAAACCAATTGGTCTCTTGAATATTGACGGTTATTTTAATAACCTAATCAAATTTCTAGATGACGCAGTGAGACAGAACTTCATGGCTTCTAGTCAGAGAAAACTTTTCATCTCTTCTTTCTTTATTGATGAGCTTTTAGACAAGCTAGCGTTTGCTAAAGCTTTTCCAGGTCCTGGGGCTAGTTATGATGAATTTGTAAATCTTGGGGCATTGGACTTAGACTTGCATTTGTAATATTACTTTATGTAATTTCAGTTGAATTTATGTTGGAATAATATTGTCCATGAACATTATGAGTTAACCATAAATATTATTCTAAGCTGCATGGCCAGTGCAAGTCAGAAAAATATCTATTTTCAACATCAGAATGCATCATGTAAATATCAAACATTTTCTCAAGATGGGTCAAATGAAAGATTTCATTATACAATGGTTTCAACACACGTAGGTTCAAGAAAATATGAATATTCTTGAGATTCAAATCGAAAGATAATTTCTGGTTTACATAAGGTTTCTACATTATTGAATATATCCTCGAGCCCTTGTAGCACTTTAGGATCTTTACAGAGTATCATCCTTGGGTTGGACTGTAACACCCTAATCCGTCCAGGTCTGCAGCCCTTTTCGGACTAAAGTATAAACTTGGTATTCATAAACATTTAAAATATTTCAAATATTTAAAACTTTATTTCATAATAAATAATTCAAAATAGTAACGGAGTAATTTAATGTTGCGGAAGCTTAATAAAACATAATACAAACATAATTAATTTATGTCTTTTCAACAGTAATTTAAATGCAAAACACACATCCGTCCGACCTTCTCGTCCCATCTGCCTCCAGGAAATCATTTCTTCATTCATTTTGTTTACCTGCGTGTAGCAAATA